ATTAGATTAGATAATCTGTTTTCGACAACTATGCATTTTAGAGCACTTTGGTGTTTTATAGTCGGACTTTTGACTTTGATTTGCATATGCGGATATTCTGGCTTGGTAATTTACGCTTGGTATTACGAATGCGATCCACTTACAACGAAGGTAACTTTTATTTGTAATCCTGGACATTGAATGTTAAAAATTAGGGTATCAACTAATGGTATATATATGTATAACAGCTGGCACGTACTAGAGATCAACTGCTCCCGTTGTTAGTCATGAATGTTTTAGGAGAATTTCCGGGATTACCCGGTCTCTTCGTGGCTGGCGTATTTAGCGCTGCACTCAGGTAATTATGTATATATTTTTGATATAATTAATGCAGGAGAGAAAGAATGTAAATTATTAATTATTTGTGTATCCAGTTCATTGTCGACCGGTTTAAACTCCATGGCGGCCGTTGTGTTAGAAGACTTTGTCAAACCTTTTATCAAGATCCCGTTTACGCCAAAAGGCGCCGATATTTTTATGAAACTCACAGTCGTCGTTTTAGGAACAATCTGCGTTGCTCTTGTTTTTGTCGTTGAACAAGCAGGCACTCACGTGTTGCAGGTAAACACAGATACAATTTTTATGATAAGGAGTGCTGATTAATTTTTATTTCATACTTGAATGAATTATAGCTGTCAATAAGTCTAGGCTCTATTACCAATGGACCATCTTTCGGTATTTTCACCATGGGAATGCTATTACCATGGATTAACGGCAAGGTATATATAAATGTTAAAATTAATTTAATTTAACTTGAAATTATATTTAAAATTAATTTTGATTCACATAAATAATAGAAAATTGAGTAAATACTAATCAAAATTATTATCTAAATTTGGCAGGGTGCACTAGCCGGAGGACTTGCAGGTCTAAGCTTCATGAGCTGGCTTGGTCTTTCCATCCAAGCAGCTATTGCAGAAGGAAAAGTCACGTTAGTGTTGAAATCATCATTCCCAGACAGCATACATGTCCAAAATACATCCAAAGGATGCCCAGAGGACGTCCTGTCGTCCCAAAAACGTCTTCGGGATATCCTCTGGACGTCTTTTGGATATGAAGTGCTGTCAGGGTTGTGTTGCACGCGCACATATGTAAACATACATGTTTTTACAGATTTGATACAAAACCTGTTACTACGGCAGGATGCACTTACTCTTTTCCACAAGTAGAGAATTTATTACTATCTGCACCGCCAGATTCAATCCTAGATGACTCAAGTGGAGAGTAAGTTAAAAAAATACTTTTACCTGTGTAATTTCGTATAATTATTACATAATAATTGTAGTTAGTTTATTAAAATACAAAATTGATACGTTCTATAGTAAAGTAGTAACTATTATTTAATAGAGAACCATGGGCGTTATACCGTCTCAGTTATCTTTGGCATACTCTGCTTGGTACCATCGTAACTATAGGCGTCAGTCTCATCGTAACTTTTATTACTTCTCAAGATGTTAAAAAATTAGATCCAATGCTCATAGCACCATTTATGAGAAAGTACATGATGGTGTCAAATAAAGATGTGACCGAAGAGCTTCATCAAGTCAAGGTATTGTTATTCTTAATTAAAATATATTTTATTTTTTTAACAGAGTGTGTTTTGCTTGATTAAGTAACAACTATGTCTCGTTGTAAGAAATTAGTAAGAAAATTGTATTCATATTTTACATTGAGTACGTGCTACAAGTTGTAATATTAATATTATTTAGTAATCAAATTTTATATTTTGATTTTTTTTTTATAATTAGATCGCAAAATCGGATGGTGAAAAGATGGCATCTTGTGCTACCAAAGAGGCCGATAAATTATTATTGGAAACAACTTTGAAATCATAATAAAGCTAAGTGATTATATATTTTAATCTTACTATTAGATTTCCAAATTTATTTAAAATAAAATATAGTTTTTTCGATAGCGCTTATTTATGTCATTTAAAATTAGGCATTTAAATTATTAATCAAAATTCTACATATATTTTTAGACATATGACTATATATTTTTATTGTTAATAGTAGTATTGTAACCATGTAAAAAAATTATTATAGATCGTTGTGCATACTGTTTTTAGTTAAGCATTCTATAACAACTAATATATCAATATTGTATCGTATCACATTAAAAATTTTTACCTACAGTTTTGTTAGTTTGCGCTAAGTTAAGATTTTCGATTGCATTTGCACGTCATTTTTAAACAGGAAACTTAAGTACATAAATTAACTTGTGATTAAATTTTAAGGCTAATATTTTATATGTTGTTAAATGAATTTTTCAGCGATGTTGATTGGCAAACGTAGGAAATTTTTGAGATACTAGAAATTTTCTATTTATAATCAATTAATACAAGAATTCTTGTATTAATATATGACAAATAAAAATAGCCTAAAATAACAGAATTGAAATTTATTCCATTTATATACATTTCAACACATTTGTTTCGTGCCCCAATATTACTCGTATTTTGTTTCGCGAATTGCTGCACTTCGCGGATTTTTTTTGGAAGTCACAGCAGTTCAGTGAAGTGTTATTAACACATTTGTGTGAAAACAAGTGTCTTCAAACTTATTCATCGAGAGCCGTCATAAATTATCGGCGAAATGGCGAAAGAAGTGCAAAACATCAATCATGATTCCAGCACAGATGGCGAGTAAGATATATAATATAGATTTATCTATTATATAATATAGCTATTATTACTTTACAGTAATATGAGGTATAACCTTTGTCATGTATTTTAGATAATTTGTATTAGGTCTATAACTTAAAACCCGTTTTTTTTAGAAAAATTAAGTCTTTATTTAAGAAACAAATAAAAAAATATATCAATCAAAGTATTGGCCATCGTTAGATGTGACTTTTTCCTATCTTTCTGGCAATAAGCGGATCCCACGGCGAAAGAACGACTCATCTTTAGAGGCTATCCACTCAGAGACCCATTTTTTGACGCTTTCATAAGAGTTGAAGTGTTCCTCAGCAAGTGCGTGTGCCATCGACCAAAACAAGTGGTAGTCGGAAGGGGCACAGTCTGGTGAATAAGCCGCATGGGGTAGTACTTCCCAGCAAAGTGCTTCCAATGTTTTCTTAACAGTCTTAGTGACTTGAGGTCGAGCGTTGTCATGAAGCAAGATCACTTTATGCTGTCTTGTCTTATATTCTGGTCGTTTTTCGCGCAATGCTCGGCTTAAACGAATTATTTGTTGTTGGTAGAGATCCCCTGTGACTGTTTGACCAGGTTTCAGTATCTCATAATATACCACACCCTTCTGGTCCCACCAAATACAGAGCATAGCCTTCTTCCCATAAATATTGCGTTTTGGCGTCAGTGTCGATGGTTGGCCTGGGTCGCAAATGGTTTTCGGCGTTTGGGGTTATCGAAATAGATCCACTTTTCACCGCCAGTCACAAGTCGATGCAAAAATCCCTTTCTTTTTGCCTGGCAAGCAGCATTTCGGAGATGGTTTTCGCCTTTCGATGTCTCTTTCTTTCAGTTCATATGGCACCTATTTTCCTTCCTTGTATGGCTTTTAAACGCTTGGAAATGGCTGTTTGAGTAACATCCAACTTTTCTACAAGCTGATTTTGTGTTTGACATGGATTTTCATCCACCAATGCTTGCAGTTCTGTATCTTCGAATTTTTTTTGCTGGCCTGGACGTTCTTTATCATTCGTGTCAAAATCACCAAGTTTGAATCATTGAAACCATTCATTGCAAGTTGTTTTCGATAGAGCAAGTTTCCTATAAGCTTCAACAAGCATTCGATGAGATTCAGCAGCAGTTTTCTTCAAATTGAAACAAAAAAGCAAAGCTTCGCGCAAATGATGCTTATTTGGTTGAAATTCAGACATTTTCTTCGCAGTAAAAAACTATGTTGTTGTCACAAACACAAACTTTTATATATTGAATATTATTGACAGATGTCAAAACTATAAATGATGCCTTGTTCAGCCATTACAGTTGACGATTGTCAAAGTTACAGCTATTTATCGCTAGAGAACGGATTTTAAGTTATAGACCTAATATTTTTAGAAAAATTATAAGACCTTTTTTTTACGAGATTCAGAATACATAAAAATAATAAAATTTTTCTTGCGATTCTTGTGTATTACCAGATATAGAAATAGTGTATCACACATTTTTTCATACGAGTATAAGATATTTTAAGAAAAATGTTAATATCAAAAAATTAGCAATATTTATCGTGAATAATGTTTCTCAATCTTTTACATTACATTGAGGAAAAGTTATCACTTGATAACGAATGTTGCAAAGGAAATATATAATACTATTATAATTGAGAGAATAAAAAAGACAGTTTAGAAAATAAGATGAAATGACTTATAATTGACATTATCATATAATTAGTTATATGAATTGACATTATCATATAATAGTTATATCATTCAGTGTCTATTTCAATGTACATTCCTCTTAAAGGAATATACTTTCTTAGTGTATTCAAATAAATATATGTTAATGAATTTTTTTATTAATATAAATAGTGGATAGTGATTAATAAGACAAATGTAACAATGGAAACCTGATTTCTGACTCTCCATTTAGAAACTAACTTTACTGTTATATTTAACAAAAAATGAAAAATAAATATCACTATTGTGCCAAATTATTCTAAAAATATTATACAATAGATTTGTTATAATCTGGCAATTTTATGATAGTGCTATCAATACACAATACACAGTTTAATCCGCAATTTTTTAATACGTATTTTGAAAAAAAGATTGATTTGCTATGATATAAACTTGTCACTTAAAACATTGTGTGTCTTTGGAATTTATAAAATTATGTTTAATGAACAAATATCTAATAAGTTGATATGCGAGAACTTTTGTCAACCTTTTCCAAGATGGAACTTGGAGCGCAGTCTTTGGCAGAAGCCCCTGCCAATGTATGAAATATGCTACAACTACCGAGACTGTTTGCTGACTGGAATGTTGGTAGCAGAATGGGATAAACAGAAAGGTGGTTAAGTCTATAGCATATGAAGAGATGGTATGTGCGTTAGACAATCGATCTCGATTGGTGGTTCTGGTTTGACATACGTGTATGGCTATGTAGACGCACAGTACAAGTCTAACATGTCAAAAGACGACCCAGACAGCACACATGTCCAAAATACATCCAAAAGATATCCAAAGGATATCCAGAGGACGTCTTGTAGTCCCAAAACCATCCTCTGGACGTCTTTTGGATATGTTGTGCTGTCTGGGGAGTGCCTCAAGCTGATGAAGAACAGTAAGCACTTGGAAAATAATTGCATCAAAAGATTTAGTTCTTTATAAAGTAATAACTTCGACATTTCAATGTTTCGATGTTTCTTTCAGCACTCGCATTAGCCATGGCTCGCGATGGTAGCAGCGGTAGCGTCATACGAACTGGTGTGATTACGGAAAAAGGAATCGAAAGGAAAGTCATATTGGGCAACGAGTTGCCGCGCTTTTACAAAGGTTGAAGATGATTAAATCTCTGTTTTGCAATAAGTTTAATATAAAAGATATATTTATAGTAAGATACACACCGCATTTGCTAATTAAAATTGCAGGTAAAATTTTGATTTACTATTCTTTTTTTATATTTCTTAATATGTATACACTCTGAAAATACGAGAAGTATTTCAGTTCTGGCAATGTATAAAAGATAAAGAATAAAGTAAAACTTTGATTTGTTAAATTGCGTTAATCTAAGCATAAAAAATAAAGGGATAGAAACATCGATTCCATTGATATTACTACTATAATATATTTACTTTACAAGACATTTTTCTAGGCGTTTAAAATAAAACTTGCTTAGTTTATTAAAATTTCGTGTAAGAAGACTGCTGCTAGAATTGCAGCCCTTAGTTTAGTCAAACACATATTTATACTGTCACTACTAAATTTAGGCCGGTTAATTGAAGGATATTATCTACTTGAGATTCTCTTTCCTGTCGGTCGATCGGTCGGTCGGTCAGTCGGTTGGTCGGTCCGTCGGTTGGTTGTTTCATACTTCATATTTTAGGCCCCCTGTTGTCAGTTTAATTAAAAGATTGTCGCAATAACACTGTCGTGATACGCATAATCGCACATGACGCGACACTCAGAGCTCCTCTGCAGTCTCTGTCGTGATTCGTGTGATCTATCAAGGTAGTCGTTTTTTGGATTCCGCAGTAGATTCATTGTTTTTGCACATGAAATATGTCATGATCAACTTTCATTAACAGTGCTTTAACAGTGCCTAACTGGTCCGATCAGAAAACAATTCATTCTAATGTATTACCTATCAAGATCAAATATTCGCTTAAGCGTGTTCTCCAACTTATAAATATTTTTATCAGCATTTTATCTATAGTAAAACATATTCTCTAATTAATATTTTACATTATCAGTCGTAGTTTGTATAACAGCAATCTAGTTTGAATCAGCCATTACGGTTTAATCTTCAACGCGCTGAAGTGATTTAGATGTGAGACAGAATAATTGCATTAAAAGTTTACAGTTATTCATCAGATTCAAATTTTGCGACATAAATGTAAGTAAGAAATTGTAGCCTTCATGACAAATTTTTTATTTCTTCTTTGCAAATATGTTTATATGTGACACAGTTTCGATTGAGATTTTCATGATTTGTGATATTTTTGTAGCTTATAAAAAATTTGGTGTGCAAGAAATCTTAATAAATAATGTGAATATTATTAATGAATTTTATTATTTAGGTAATTGTGTGCAATGACAATCGATATATATCATAGTGCATCGCAAGTTGCGTGGAACAATTCACTAACATAGATTCTTTCGTCATCATCCCATATATTCTTCATGGTAGACGACAGCGTGACTATTTATTAATCATTCTGCACTGTTAACAGGATCATTATCAGACAAAAAACGTACTCTTCTTACATACTCTATTAGAGTGACGAAACTTGGCAACAAGATGACTTCGGAAAGTATCTCGGGCGACTTAGGCCTAACGAAATGGCCATCAGAAACTTCTACCTCTCAGGAAATCATCAAATCGATGCAGAGTTTTGGAATGTCGGATTACTCTGTATTTACTGCAATGCTAATCGCATGCGGTATCATTGGCATTTATTTCGGATTCATAAAAAAATTCTCTGGTGAAGACGAGTACTTGGTTGGTGGAAGGAATATGAAAACATTTCCAATTAGTCTCAGTTTGATAGCCAGCTTTATATCAGGTAGAATTATATTTTGCATTTGGTTATCTTTTTCCTATGCAAATTTCCATACGCTATAAGTAAATCATAAAAATAAAAATAAATTGTAAAAATAGAATAATTTTATATTCGATTGCATTATACTAGCTTAGTATATTTCTAATAAAATTGATTTTTATTTTTATTTGTTAAACATTATTGTGTTTATTAATATAAATCCATACTCATTTTATAGTGCTTTTCTTAAAGTCTGAATTGCTTAAAAGATATTTTAAATTGACGTCAAAAATTTATTTTATATTTACTCATTTGTTGTTACGTACGTCTATGGAAAATTTTCACTTGACTTTCTATTACGATGTTACTGTTTTATTTTTAGCGATAATAGCAAATCATTTGATTAGATAAGCAGATTAAGTAGTAAATTATAAAGGTATATCCTGTCATTTGTAAATGTGTTTGAAATGTGTGATAGAGAAACTGTTTGCATGAGTGCAGTATGCAACGCGTGATGTGTACAATGTAAACTTATGTGTATTTCTCGAAATAAGGTAAAGCTACAGTTTATACAGTTTATCAGTTAATTGGTCAGCAATGTAAAATTTAATAAAAAGAAACTTATAAAAAATTCTGAAATTAAAGTTTTAAAAGTACTTGAGGATTAATGTACATAAATCGAAAGTTTTTCATACACATACATTTTTTTATATTCCATTTAATTAAATTAATTTCATCAAATGTTTTGTGTAATATCGGATACTTATATAATAACACTATAAAGTTTGCGTGAAAAATACCAAAGAGGATTGATCTTATTCAATTAAAATAACTATTCTATATTGGAAAATTGCATTATAATTCCGATCTTGCATTTATAACTAGTTAAACAGTTTGCAACACACATAATATATGTTAGGTATCTCGTTACTGGGGATACCGACGGAAATTTATGTACATGGCACGAGTTTTCTCTTCATCGGCTTCGCGCTCATTTTTATTGGTTTCGTTTCATCCAGCATATATCTGCCGGTTTTTTACGAGCTGAAACTCACTAGCACCTACGAGTATCTTGAGAAACGTTTCGATAAAAGGATCAGGTTGCTAGGCTCAATTTTTTTCTCTATTGGTATCGTGAGTAAAATTTGTAAACGTATAAATTTTGTGGTAAATATATTTCCACACACTGCAATATATGTATAATTAACAAATATATTTTTTTAGATGATTTGGCTTCCAATTGTCATTTACGTACCTGCATTAGCCTATAATCAAGGTATATTTTTTAATCAAGCAAAATTTTAAGATTGTTTTATCAGAAATTAATTTCGACAATCCTCGTAAATATTGCATAATATTCGAACTTGATTAATCGTATGTTTTAAAATTTACTTGAAGATATGTTATGTAAATGCAATATGGGGGAATCGCTATGTTATTTACGCATATATATCAGAAATTTATATTAAATAATTTTATTTTTAGTCACTGGAGTCAACATACATATTATCACTCCCTTTGTGTGCATTGTTTGCATATTTTACACATGTGTGGTAAGATAGTTAGTCTAAATATACAAGATATATGTAAGTTGAACGCAAATAATATCTAAATTAAAGACCAGATAAACATCTGCGTTTGGCTCATATTTATCTTGTATTTTCTTGTACAGACATTTTAATTATCAAGTCAAATTTTTTCTGTGGAAAAGAATATCTAATTTTAATTGAATTACGTATCGCAGTCAGATTGAGCTAAGTAATAATATTCAAATCTAGTAATAGTATTTAGAAAGTAAGTTATTCATAACTTCCTGTTTTAATATAATTTTTGTATAAGAATTTTTTATTACATTTAGGGCGGTCTCAAGGCGGTAGTATGGACGGATTTTATTCAGAGCTTTATCATGTTCGGTTCAATGTTATTAATTGTAATAAAAGGCACTGTCGACGTCGGCGGATTATCTGTAGTGATTCAGAGAAACCAGGAATCTGGAAGACTCGAATTTCCCACGTGCGTACATTGTTACAGTATTAACCACTGCTAAAGCAAAATATTGATTTAAATACGAAATAAATTATTTGTAAAAATTCATAAGACAGGCGTCTTTTCATTAAATTGAACGAAGATAAAAGTATTTTAGTTAAGACTTTAAAACGTTTATTTTATTCAACAGGATGGATTGGAGTCCTTTAGCGAGACACTCAATTTTAGCAATCACGGTAGGCGGATTTGTACATTACTTGCAAATTTCCGCCATTAATCAAAATATGATTCAACGATACTTGTCGCTTCCCAATTTACAATCAGCTAGAAGGTATCTTCATAAAATACGTTCTTTTAATAAAATATGCATTTACTTGGGTGTAATTAAATGGTATTAAAATTTTAATATATTACTAATTTAATGTAGCACGTAATAGTGTAAGACCATATTAGAATTAGAATTTCTGTGATGATTATTAGATTAGATAATCTGTTTTCGACAACTATGCATTTTAGAGCACTTTGGTGTTTTATAGTCGGACTTTTGACTTTGATTTGCATATGCGGATATTCTGGCTTGGTAATTTACGCTTGGTATTACGAATGCGATCCACTTACAACGAAGGTAACTTTTATTTGTAATCCTGGACATTGAATGTTAAAATTGGGATCAACTAATGGTATATATATGTATAACAGCTGGCACGTACTAGAGATCAACTGCTCCCGTTGTTAGTCATGAATGTTTTAGGAGAATTTCCGGGGATTACCCGGTCTCTTCGTGGCTGGCGTATTTAGCGCTGCACTCAGGTAATTATGTATATATTTTTGATATAATTAATGCAGGAGAGAAAGAATGTAAATTATTAATTATTTGTGTATCCAGTTCATTGTCGACCGGTTTAAACTCCATGGCGGCCGTTGTGTTAGAAGACTTTGTCAAACCTTTTATCAAGATCCCGTTTACGCCAAAAGGCGCCGATATTTTTATGAAACTCACAGTCGTCGTTTTAGGAACAATCTGCGTTGCTCTTGTTTTTGTCGTTGAACAAGCAGGCACTCACGTGTTGCAGGTAAACACAGATTCAATTTTTGTAATAAGGAATGTTTGTTAATTTTCATTTCATTCTTGAATGAATTATAGCTGTCATTAAGTCTAGACTCTATTACCACTGGACCATCTATCGGCATTTTCACCATGGGAATGCTATTACCATGGATTAACGGCAAGGTATATGTCAATGTTAAAATTAATTTAATTTAATTTGAAATTATATTTATAATGAAATCTTGATCCACATAAATAATAGAAAGTCGAGTAAATACTAATCTAAGTTATTATTTAAATCTGGCAGGGTGCTCTAGTCGGAGGACTTGCAGGTCTAAGCTTTATGGGCTGGTTTGTGTTTTCCGTCCAAGCAGCTATTGCAGAAGGAAAAATCACGTTAGTGTTGAAATTATTATTGTGTTGCACGCGCACATATGTAAACGTACATGTCTTTGATACAGATTTGATACAAAACCTGTTACTACGGAAGGATGCACTTACTCTTTTCCACAAGTAGAGAATTTATTGTCATCTGCATCGCCAGTTACAATCATAGATGACTCAAGTGGAGAGTAAGTTAAAAAAATACTTTTAACTGTGTAATTTCGTATAATTATTACATAATAATTGTAGTTAGTTTATTAAGATACAAAATTAATAAGTTCTGTAGTAAAATAGTAACTATTATTTAATAGAGAACCATGGGCGTTATACCGTCTCAGTTATCTTTGGCATACTCTGGTTGGTGCCATCGTAACTATAGGCGTCGGTCTCATCGTAACTCTTATTACTTCTCAAGATGTTAAAAAATTAGATCCAATGCTCATAGCACCATTTATGAGGAAATACTTGATGTCAAATAAAGATGTGTCCGAAGAGTTTTATCAAATCAAGGTATTGTTATTCTTAATTAAAATATATTTTGTTTTTTTTAACAGAGTGTGTTTTGCTTGATTAAGTAACAACTATGCCTCGTCGTAAGAAATTAGTAAGAAAATTGTATTCATATTTTACATTGAGTACGTGCTACAAGTTGTAATATTAATATTATTTAGTAGTCAAATTTTATATTTTGATTTATTTTTTATAATTAGCTCGCAAAATCGGATGGTGAAAAGATGGCATCTTGTGCTAACAAAGAGGCCGATAAATTATTATTGGAAACAACTTTGGAATGATAATAAAGCTAAGTGATTATATATTTTAATCTTACTATTGAATTTTTACCTACAGTTTCGTTAGAGAGATATTAGAAATTCTGTATTCATAATCAATCAATACGAGAATATGTGTGACAAATAAAAATAGCCTAAAATAACAGAATTGGGAATTATTTCCATTTATATACATTTTATCATATTTGTTTCGTGTTCCAATATTACTCATGTGCTGTTCAGCAGTGTAATCAGAGATTTAAAATGCAAAAAACTCACAATATTTTTAACTAAAATTCAAACCACTAGTCGAGACCCGAATCATTTGATTTGAGCTGGCTAAAATTTTAGATGATGCGCATGTGCGCAATACGCCCTCTATTCATGCTACTTGCTTCTTGTGTCTTAAATTTGGCCACACTGCTGCTCAGTGCTGCCCCGATACGGTCAGATCTTCGGTTATCATGTTTTGACGGAAAAATTGGTGATAAAATTAAGAGGTAATATTGATTAAAGTACGGAAAATATCGCGAATTTATTAGTGTTAATCGTTGTAAAACGGACGCAGTGATAAATTCTATTATTATAATACATTCTTATGCTACATACATTACGCAAGTGTTTCTAATAGAACGCGATATTTTATAGGTTATGTTCTTATTTGACTATCCTGTTTATCTATTCTGTTTCGCGAGTTTCTGCTGTATTTCGCGGATTTTTTTTGGAAATCACAACAATTCAGTGAAGTGTTATTAACGCATTTGTGTGAAAACAAGTGTCTGTGAACTTATTTATTGAGAGTCGTTATAAGCTATCGGCGAAATGGCGGAAGAAGTGCAAAGCATCAATCATGATTCCGGCATGGATGGTGAGTAAGATATATAATACAGATTTATCTATTATATAATATAGCTATTATTACTTTGCATTAATATGAGGTGTAGCCTTTGTCGTGTATTTTAGATATCGTGTATTTTCAGAAAAATTATTTTTTTTTTTTACGATTTTCGGAATACATCAAAATGAGATTTTTCTTCAATTTTTGTGCATTACCGGGTACAAAATGTATCACACATTTTGTTATATATAAGTATAAGATATTTTAAGAAAAATGGTGATATAAAAAAATTAGCAATATTTATTGTCAATATTGTTTCTTAATCTTTTACATTACATTGTGGAAAAGTTATCACTTGATAACGAATGTTGCAAAGCAAATATTTAATACTATTATAATTGAATAAAAAAGGTAGTTCAGAAGATAAGATGAAATGACTGATAACTGACATTATCATTGGGATTTAATGTCTATTTCAATGTACATTCCTCTTAAAGGAACATACTTTCTTAGTGTATTCAAATAAATATATGTTAATGAATTTTTTTATTAATATAAATAGTGGATAGTGATTAATGAGACAAATGTAACAATGGAAACCTGATTTCTGATTTTTCATTTAAAAATTATCTTTACTGTTATATTTAACATGAAATGAAAAATAAATATCACTATTGTTCCAAATTATTCTAAAAATATTATACAATGGACTCGTTATCACCTGGCAATTTTATGATAATGTTATGAACACACAAGACACAGTTTCAATTCGCAATCTTTTAACGTGCATTTTCAGAAAAAATTGATTCGCTATGATATAAAATTGTTACTTAAAACATTGTATGTCTTTAGAGTTTATAAATTTATGTTTAATGAACAAATATTCAATAAATTGTTATGCAAGGATTTTTGTCGTTGTGGAAGCGTTCTTCACACTTTGGTGGAACGAAGTATAAATTAATGTTAAGGCTCCTGGTCCCGCAGCCGTGAACTCCGCGTTGACAGTAGCGACATAATTGTGGTAGGAATAAAAACCTAGTCGAATTTACCCAGTCGATTTATCGTATAAATAAATAGTGTAACAGTTTGACCTAATCAATTGATTCGATAAAAGTAAATTACTGAATAACATACAAAATGTTAATTTATAATTTAAAAATTTGTTTACAAAAAAATAAACGCGATAAATACAGAATATATATAGCTTAGTACCGTTATCGACATGTCCATATGACAGAAATTCTTATGCAGCGTCTTAGGTGGAGAATCGATGAACTATTAGGCGTGAAAAAATGACATGTTGACTACCCAATTTATTCTTGCGTGCCATTTCATTAATATTCGTTAAATGTTAGTACTGTGATATGTGACGTGTTCATGAAACCTGTAAAATTATCCGAAAACTAAGATTAGCAGGGAAAGCCCAACGTAGAAGGAGAATTTTCTACTCATACAGACAGCTGTCAACCGTGTGTTTTCTCGCATAATTAGGCTTCGTTTCACTGTTGATTTAACAATTGTTTATAACCTGTCAAGGAAAAAGCATAGTTTTCGGACAATTTTACAGGTGTCTTAAAGCGATCCAGAGTGTTACTTTGTTAAATTATCATTTTATTTAGAAATGGCACGCAAGAATTCTCGGCGTGTCATTTCTCGCTTCTGACGTCACGAATCTAATATGGCTGCGGTGACTACCCAGGAGCCTTAAATTATAATAAGTAATGTTACGTAGCCCATCTAGGAAACTCGAATAGATTAAATACATATGTACCCCATGTGGGAAACGCGATCGCGGTAACAAGAAGCGTAATAATGCTGGGCCCGATACCGGCGATTACAAAATCTTTCGTCCTTATATGTCCTGCCGCGCTGGCAATCGCGTTCGGTGGAGTGCCGACTGGCAGGTGGAACGAGAATGAGCAGCAGAGAGCCGCGGGTAGCATTAGGTACAGGGGATGTATTTTGATGGCCACACACTGAAAATAAAGAAAGGAAAATATTGTAAAATTACATTTTTTAATATTCTATTGTCTTTTTTTCGTTATAAGTAATTTATAAAAGGGTACCGCGTTGCATTACAACATGAATTTTGACAAATTTGATTAATCAGTGATAAAAATTGCCAATGATTTCTCTGTACTCACCATTTCCGCTAATACAGGCAGTATAATATTCGCGACGGCTACATTGGCAGTCAATTCCGTCACGTTTTCGGCGAAAAGGCAGACAATCAGTAGTATCGCCACTACATTAATTTTTTCCAGTCCTATTAATGATTTACCGAGCATTTGCGACAATCCAGATGTAGTGCTACCCGCCGAAATTGCGAATCCGCCACCCAACACGAATATCAGACTCCAGTGCATTTTCTCATTTATTATTTTCCATGTTATCAGACCGGGTGACGGTTTCGTGGGTCGCTTACGCGCATCCTTGTTGAATGCGTTTCGAAAGTCTAGCTTGGACGGAATGATGAAAAACAATATTGTCACGAATATGGCTGCAGTCGAGTCCTTGACAGGTCTGCGAATTGTGAAATTTCAATTATTTTGTCCTTCGTTACTTTGATTACGTTTCGGATTAACTTGTATACGTACTTGTCGAGTTTAGAAAATTATGTTATTAAAGAAATCGTACCCGTGAAATGATTGCAAAATTATTTAAAATTAATCTTCGTTATTTTCTGTTATTCCGATTATAAAATTCGGAAATATCGAATCAAGTCTAATCCTGGAAAAAACGAAAACGTATTTCTCATAGTGGCATAGATACTCACAAGTTGGTGATATAAAATGCCCAGCCATTCATAAATCCGGGGCTCCTGAAGAACCAGAGAAGCACCACGAGGATAAATAAGACACCTACGGAGAATTCGTGCCATGAGATCGGTCCGAGTTCCTTGTATTTCTTCTCAATAACCGCCGCCGCGACTCGTTCGCCCTGTTGTCCAATATCGATAGCACGAGCGTCTTTGCTTTTCGGTCTGAAGAGACCCATATACATAATCTGCAGCCACAACCATGTTAAGATACCCATGAGTAGCATGGGCGGCACTGAATACAGCATCCAAGAAGCGAAATTTATGCCGGGGCTGGTCGGAAATCGCCTGGAAATGGCGGTAAACATTGCAAACGTTATAAGCATAATATGATTCTATCAGCAATGTAAAGTATACTGTGAAAAAGAATTAACTGAAAGATTGGGATTACAAATTTGCGAAATTATTGATATAGTACATGTGTAAATACATGTATATGTCCAATCTTCCTCCTTGCGCTACAAATGTCTCTATTTGAAGATGTCGCGACGCATATTATTGAGAATTGGCACTATTTGTGCACGTACTTTTCCAAAAAGCCTTTCAGTGTTAAATTTGTACCGCTTCCGACAATGGTGCCGATACCACCGAGACTGGACGCATAGGCCGCAACGAGATAGTACACCATAGTACTGTGCGTCGGTCTTTTGGATCTAAAAAATAGCAAAAAGATATATGAAATATACACGAGTATATTTATATTTGCGGAATTTTTATATATTATAAAGTATCTAGAAAATCAAAGATGAGAGAAGAAAACAGTGATAAACACTTACGTTTCCCCGTCCTCTTCGATCGCTTCTTCGCTTTGGGTAAACATCTGTCCGAGTCCTTGCTAAAATCAATTTGGAATACTGATTAGTACGACTGCCTCGTTCCCAAATCTGAAGGTTTAAAAAAAGAAAAAAGAAACTCACCGCTTCGAGCTCCACGAGAACGGTTTCCATTATGGGTATCATCATAGCTGTGGCGGCGGTATTCGAGATCCACATTGAGATGAACATCGTCACGAAAAATAGGCCGAAAGTCAATCTAAAGATGGAAGATGACGTAAAATTTTGCTCAAAGATATAAAAATATAACGCTACATCATATTATGTTGCGAATATATTGATATTTAATGACGAGTCCCACGAGTGAATTTAAAAAATTGAAAATGTTATGATATAAAGCGGTAAAACGAAAAGGAAGGAGGTACCTTCGATGACTACAGCCAATAGTCTTGATGATGAGCAACGCTATTCGCATGTGTAATCCAGAATTTTCGATGACCACCGCTATCACTAAACTGCCCAGGAACATCATTGTGGTGTCGTTCATGTAGCACAAGCAGGTGTCGTTGGTAGACATGATGTCCATCAGCGGATACAGAACCACCGGAATCATGCCTGTGACCGGTAACGGCAGAACTTCAGTCACCCAAAACAGCGCCATTAATGCGACGATGTATAAACATTTCATCGCTATATACTGCGCTCGAAAAGAAAAGAATAATCCTTTAATTCTTTCGATTCGGTTCCAATTAAAATCCGCGCGTACAAATGTATTAATTTATGCGTGATTAATCTTTCGTTTTGATGTACAATAAGATGCGTGCATTTCGTTTATTTAACTAAATATCAATATTGGCATATGGAAAAAAAAACGTACTTTTTCACTTTCAACCAATAGTATCGGAGTCAGAATTAACGGCCACAACACCACGACAAAGCTTCGCCAGTAAATTGCTAGAAACCTTAACAGTAATCTGCCGAATCTAGGGGTTTTCCTAAAATTATTAAAAGAAAAAATGTTGATGGAAAGATGCATTACAAATCAAATAAGGAAATAATATGCTTACTCTTTTCTACTCTCTTCGGTTTCGGCGGCTTCTATGCATGAAGCTTCCGATCTCGAAGCCATTGTTGTTTACTGAAATTGAATTTATAATATATTTTTTATCCATCTAGAAAACTTGTTATAGAGAGAGATGCGCACTTAAAAATCATATAAAAATAATTATATATTCAATCTTTTAAAAGAAAACATTTATAATATATAATTTCACAGTAAATAATAAAGCGATAATTGAGAAAAAATGGGTACAGAGAAAAACTCAGAGAAAAGATGATCTTGCCTTTTTTATTTAAAAATTATCTTGCTTTATTGATATTTGACATTTTTAAGACATTAAGAGAAGATATTGAATTCTTGAAAAAACTTTGTGATCATTGAAAATATCTATATATATCCACGAATTTCGTCACGGTATTCTTTATCGTACTAGCTTTTTTTCACTCAATTGATTTAATCTATTTTATTAAAATTATACTTTATTTAATCTTTTTATTCCTATATTATTTCTGAATTTTTCGCGAACGAAATAACTTTGTAGGGCGAGTACCACCTGGGACAACGGTTACTGTACTGAGGATAGACAAGATAATAGTCTCAAATATACATTCCAATCATAACATTTTGTGCGGTGATCGATTGCGTTTTTATACGCATATAAACAAACGACCGGCGACGAGCGTCTGAGAATTTTCCGCGTTCAAAATGATGAAAGTACGTTTTCGGGAATATTCCCGACATGCGTCCGCAAAACGTTAATTTATCACTTTTTTTTTTCTTTGTTTCTTGTATAATTATTCTATTATTTATTTCCTAACAATCATACCTGACGATTATCTCGCGCGAGACTCTTATCGCAATATATCGACCTTAATAAAACGCAAGTACAAAAAGAATCAGATCGAGGACCTCGCGGTATTGTTCTCCCATGGCCTTCGTAATTTTTACATGTATGCATATGCAAATACATCATTTCCGTTTATGTGACACCGGTTATGTGTTCCCCTCGTACGCGCGCGCTCGATTAATCGACATGATACCGTCGTCTATCCAGGCTCTCTCATGCTCGTTTAACCCTGCGCCATTTGCGTCAATAACAATACGACGTTGACTGATTGTTCTAGGATATGTGTTTTATAGCCTCCCAAAACTACTGTGTACATAATATCGTTTAAGCTATATCGCACTTAGATATCGAAAGTCCTACACGCGCTAATTTGCTCGCGGGATTTTCCAAATACGGCAAGCAAAATTTACGCGTTACATGAGATTTTTGCAATGTTTTGCACAAACTGGGTTTTTCTTTCTTTCTTTGAGTATTTATGCAGGATGTATTCAAATTCATACGGATATTCCACGTAAGAAAATTTTTTGAAACTAATTTTTCCTTTCGTTATATCATAAATATTGACATCTTGTTTAGAGATAATCTTTTTTTCTTTTCTTTTTACGGGATAATATTACTTATTCAAATGTCAAGCTGTAAAATTTCAATATTTCTCAACATAATAACGTTTGCTAATAAAGTACTGTTTTCCGTACGGCATCGCGCTACTTTTATGTGAAATCGACAAACGTCAGTTCTTAAACGTCAGATATTAAACTCGGTAAACAATGGAGGAACTAATGAGTGATAATGTTATTGCAAAAACGTAATCGCAATATTACAATTGCTTTTTTTATATTCCCCTTTTACGAGCCATGGAAAACTGCAGATTAGATTGCGGTAAATTAATAGAATATGAAACCACGATAATAATTTAACGCGTTTTGCGATAAACGAGATTGCTAATTAAAATAGCGAAACATCGTGCATATATCATTTCTTGAATGATTCATTGTCTTGTTTTGAGTGATTGAATGATTTATCCTTAGATAAAGGATAAGTGTATAAGTTAGCTTTACATCTCTGAAGTGCGTTATACATGTTCGCGAGTGGATTATTAAAGTGAATGATAAAAGAAAGATTTGGTAAAGTTTATTTTACATATGAAAGAACAAGCTGAACAATTTAAGTTACCTATGTTAATATTAAATAGCAAAAATATAAAAAAAGTTAAATATAATAAATTATACAAAATGTTTCTCATGTGTCAATAGGAAGTATTAATTCTGTTTTATTCAAGCATGACATTTAAAAAAGAATACATTATAATGTCGTATCAATCTACATACATTGAGGTGAAGAAATCTCTATGATAATTAAACATACATAAACATACACTTTTCATTAGTTTTTTAATTTTTTAGAACATTTTAATTTTTCATGTAACTTTATATAAAAATGCACAAAATTTTTATGATAAAAAATGATCTGTTTTTTAAATCTTTCTATTTAACTTTAATAATTATCGTATTTGCGAATCTCTTTCAGAGTCGAATTATTTGTTTTAAATTTTCTTTTATATAAATTATAATTCAAGTATTCAATAAGTGAAATACAGAAAGTGCAGTATCTTGTACATTCAATAAGGAGTTGTCGTGACTCAATCTTTTTGCTTTGTCTTGAGAATGATTCATGGAGGTTGCAGTTGAGGAGCTTATTGATTTGTGTGTGTGTGTGCGCGCGCGCGTGTGTGTGTTGAAAGTTAAATTCCTATTATTATTTTTGCAAAACAAATGTAGCGAGATGTTTCCCAAATTCACGAACAAAAATAGACTCGTCGTCGACTTAATTTACGCTTCCGCACACCATTAAGTCAAGTCGAAGATCTTCACACCTTACACGCACTCAATGATTTTTATTCTCAGTGATATCTGCTATTTTGGTTAATTTTTTACATTTATTTCGTATTTTAGGTTATTGCAAAAGTTATTGACTTCTTTACTCTGTTTGTTCTATTATAAATATACATTTTATTTAAATATGAATGTTATTAGTTTTTTATCTTTCAATATTCAATCGATATATTTTTATGCGAGGCTATACATTAATAAAAGATTTAATAATGAAGTGACATATTGGAATAAAAAGGAGATTAAATTAAAAGAAGGCAGAATTTTAAACAAATAATTTAACGCGAAAAAGCAGGAAAAATTTCTGCAATTTACACTAGCGACCTTCAGCTAATTCTTATGATCACTGAAGTTAATTGGCACACATGATTAATTACGTCATTCATTTATTTTACTTATTTATTTTATTTTATAATGCAGTTTTAACTACATAATTTGATATTTCACAAATGAAAAATCACGATATTTATCTGAAATTGCCGAGAAAATTGTTATTTGCAATAATGAAAATAACCGATGTAATTACACATATTGATTGATGTAACTATATATATTTTGGATAATTGAAAGATACGGAATCGCTTCACTCGCTGATGTTATCGCGCAAGCAGTGTTGTTAAATAATCAAAATAACAAAATGTCATAGTAGAGAGAGGCATAATTGCGAAGAAATACAACAGACAACTCAATACGAAAAGTGCAATCATTGCGAGAGATGTGATTGTGATGAAAACTTGAGCGTATCCCAAAAAGCACAATTTTCTATCTGCACACATTATCGTGTGTTGTATTCGCGGATGCAATTTTCGCTCCCGCTTCAAGAGATGCGTTAAATATAGAACACCAGATCGTAGGAAAAGACGATAAAAATTTAAGTAAGCGATAGTTGCAATCTCGTACTTGTCATCGTTGTTTTTGTCACATTTGTTTTTCGCAAACATTCTGCATGTCGCACATACTATTTTGTTGTGTTCAGTTTTATAATTTTTAGAAGATTTTTATATTTTTGTGAGTTTAATCTAAATATTAATTAATAAAATGCTAAAAAAATAATTAGCCAAAATTATTGAAAAATTGACAAACGATTATTTCCGACGGATATTAAGAAAAAATAATTTGTGATATCACAATTTGCGTGCGTTTGTCGTAAAATTCGCAATTTAGAACACATCAGATCCGCACAATTGAAATGCAAATTTTTAATGCATGTTTGATCGCCCTTTTGATGCATCCGCAAGCGATACGCCATGCATCGTTACACGTCGCGTGTAAACGTATCCCCGCGACGCCGAGAGTTAATCTCGACAGATCATCGGGGGTACATTCTTTCTCTTATTGTCACTGGAGGTCTTATACAAAGTTAAATTAAAAGAGGCGTGATACCGCCCGTTACCGCCACCGCATTAAAAATAGAACATGCAGCATATCATAGTTTGTTTCGTTTTTTTGTCTTTCTTTTCGCACAGGAAACTTAACACCGCGTAGTTCGAAATAAATTTATCTCGTACGATAAAATTGCGAGGAAACTTTCTAGCGATTAGAGTGAATTTTGACAGAGAAATGATTTATATGCATTATTATTTTTATAGACTTGATTTAATTCATTTGACGGAGATCAAGAAATTTTAAGCTTTAGATATTTAGCTTTTAAAATATTTTCAATTTTTAATATTAGTAATAAAATGAAAAAGATGCTTTAGAAAGATTGAAATATCACGAATTAAGCTGTTGTAAATGTAAAAAATATAATATCGAATGATTATTGATATTAATTCGATAACTGACGCAATTACATTCAACTGCGATGTGCACTTATTTTAAATTATCACATACTTGTTTAGATAGCAACGTGAGACACCCTTCTTGATTCACCCTTTTCAATCACTACACTTCAAACAATCGTTGCACGCGTAGACGTTGTGACCACGTCGTTATATTTGCGATAACATAATCACTTGTACAAGACGAAAAAGTCTAACGCGCGGTCGCATCATTGCCACTAATACAAATTTATCAGCAGTTAGTCAGCAACAGAATTTCTCTCATGAATTCTAAAAATACTCCTTGTAATAATTCATTCCACGAAGTCTTTTTAACAATCTTGCACGACTTGTGATTCAGTGATGCATTTCTTTGTGAGAATTTCTCTCGCTTTTCGTGATGCTTCTTGAAACTTCCCAAGCTTTTCGATGTTGAGTTCAACGCGTACTGACCGTTCAGGCCAAAAGCACAGCGAGTTGAGGTCTACAATTCAGGCCTCATCCCTTCTCTTCTTTAGTGAATCCTGTTCTGCGTCTCGTGTTCTTCTTCTCCCTCTATTTCCATCTTTCTTCTATTTCTCTAGTTATCTCTTTCTTGGCCAATTTGTTCAAGTCTCAAGACACAACGGGGGTTTTCATTTGTTAACAAGGGATCAACAGGGTTTTTTCTAAGCCTAACACTCACATTTTCTTGAACCTTTTGTACTATTGTACTTAATTGATGAAAGTACGAAAATATTTTATTTATTTTAAATATTTACCGACAATAAATTTTTTTCTGATTATAGCACAAAAATGATATTTTGTCAAACCATAAAAATAAAGTTTCTTTAAGGAAGGGAAAAAGCATCAATACTGTTTAATCTATAAATGGATGTGAAAAAGGAAAGTTTTTCCTAAATCTAACTTTTATGCCTTCCTAAATTTCTTATACTATTGTAATTTATTAGTGTGAGAACATCCACCGACAATAAAATTTTTTTTGGATTTTAGCAGAAAAATTATGATGTTTTGTCAAAAATAAAGTTTAGTAAGGAAGAGAAAGCATCACACACAGGCAGGCAAAGTATTTTTTAATCTGTAAATTGATATGGAAAAGTCAGTTACAAAATATCAGCATTTTTGTGCTACAATCCGAAAAAATTTTATTGCCGGATTTATTGCTGGATATTCTCGTTTTCAATATTTACTATCACAAATCAATTATATTTAGTATTTTTTCATATTTTTTCTTTGTGTCACACTTTCTAAAATTTCTTTTTTTATTTAAAGCTTGGTTAGCTATTATTGTTAATAAGCTATTTGAATGGTATTTATTTTAGTAATGACATTAATTATTTTATATTAAAAAAATTAAATTTTTTATTGAACGATTCTTCCGCTTCTGTTCCAAAAATGTCGAATAAATTTGAGTATTTTCTATTACTGCTGGATGCAGTGCATAAAGGTACAAGCAAATCCTGTTTGAGTAAGCCGGACTTCGCAGATTACACCTTGCCTCACCTGAAATGTACTATAGCATCGGGCAACAACAAGAAAATCTACATTCCTTCGTCTTCAGGTCACAAATATGCTACCATAAAAAAAGTCTCGAATGCACACACTGTGTAGGACGTATTGCAAGAGGTCGCAATAGGAGTTATTTTATTTTTTGTGTTTGTACATATTTCACCGGTGAAAAATTTGTTTGGTTATTCGTTAACCAGATATTTAAAAATATCAAGAATGCGAAGATATTTGATACTTTATCTTAAAGCAATGCGCTATCGCACAGAGCTAACATTTAAAAATTATTTGATCGATATTGTTAAATTTATAAAAGAGATAAATGTGTAATATTAAAGATTCGTTAATTATTTCATTTTTTCTGTTATTTCACCGTATTTTTTTACGAAGCTCTGGAAAATTTTAACTGTGTTTGAACGAACCGCGATTCGCCGGAAGCATTCTTCATTTCTGTCCTGCATTCATTATTCATTCCATACGCGTGCATTGTCGTTCGAGAGAAGTCAAGCGAAACACAAAGTCCTAAATACAAACGTCAATTCTGTTCAATTGTGAAAGTAATGTACACTCAAGAAATTAATACGTTATAATATGTCTTTATCTTAGTGTTGGAAAATGCGTGATACATTCGCGATTATTGACACCTTATTGTCTTCTCGATATTCTGTTATGATTTCATCATACTTAACGGTTCATTAACATTGAACCGCAAATGCTAGTCACCGATTATTTATAATACGCTATCGTAAAAAATGTGTTATAAATAATTTCTTTTTGCTTAATCGAATACCGAAAATTTTGACTGCATGGTGCAAATAGTATTTTAATTAAAATAAAACAATTATTTTTTTAGCATTTTTTGGAAATTAATTTTCGATAACTATAATTCATATATTTTTTTATATACCACAATTATTGATAATTAAGCAAGTTATAATTTCGCAAATTTGACTTTTATTCTTATCGGAAGTGCACTATGATTTATGCATTTTTAGCAATATTATTTGAAATTTTTCCGTGTAATTTTGTCATTACGCTTGTAATACAGTAATACCATAAATTGATGCATTAAATTAATCGTTATATAATAGCTTCGTTGCGCGTGGAAATCTACACGCGCGCGCGTTTGCATGCTTAAAGAAACTAGCGAATAAACGGAACTCTTTTTATATTCTTTTACCGTATATCTATTGCTGTGAAATAACACCAATTCAGGTAAACGTCGAGGGAAATAATACAAGGTCCTAATTGCAAGGCCGTTATAATGTCCCGTGCATTGTCTTGTTCGCATAATTCGAGCAATTGTGCGGTTCATAAGCAGATCTAAAATGAACTATCATCGTAAATTGATCATGAAAATATAATGAGCAATCATGAGATATTATTATATCCCGTTAAATATTTAATTTGACACTACTTGAACAAACTTGACATATTTATGATTAAAATTAAAATGGGTGATTAAATGGGTAAAATAGCAGACAATAAAGATACGATGGAGCGCTTATAATATATAAATACAATTGGCGCGAAATAATTGCATTAGTATTAACCTTTTTATATGCGTGTACACTTTTGTAATTAATAAATCTACGTTGCTATTAAATTTACGATATGATAAATTGATAAACATATTAAATCACAAGTACGTGAAGTCCAATTATGTATAATTAAATGCAACCGTATATGTTTAGATATATTGAGAAGTGAATTTTATTAAGAAAGAAGATGTTATATTGTTACTACAACGTCTGTTTCGTGAATACGTAATTCTTGTAACTATAAATGAAGGAAATTGTGCCACGTTAATAATACTTTTAATTAAATCGAATTACAGTCCGACGCGTTAAATTAAATTTTGTTTCAATTAATTCAGCGAAACTTCATCTTCTTTACAATTATATAATATTTACGTCCACGCTACCTCTTTGAGTATTTATCAGCGGAAAATCGCGATGCGCAACGATTTAATTAGCGTCATGAATCTCACGACGTCAAATATACAACTGTTAGAATTTTCTCAATTACTCGACAATAAATTTGCAACAATTGCACAATTCTAAAAATGAATGCGATACAATTGCCTTTGTCTAACATTTAACGTTGTTATGATATTATTTAATTAAGTAAATATATATCGCACTTTATAATTACATTTTGCATCGGAAGCCGAATAAAGCCGAACTTCTCTAGACGTGATATCACATATTTTTTCTCATAAAAAGGCCTCTACAGTTTGTTATCTGGCTGATCTCAGCTTTGTCTGATCTATGTGCGAAATTAAGCGCTGATCATAATATCGGAATGCATACTCGACAAAAACTACATAACGCGTTTACGCTTTGCATAGAGCATGTTTATGCATTTCTCGCATGACGAGCGTTTACGTAATAAAAGGACAGAGCAGATTAATTGATCTGTTAAATTCGTTCAAATGCTGAGCTCGATTCATATCACCTCGTTTAACTCACGAGTATTCGCGATGATAACTTGTAACACATACGCGTCGCTTTATACTTGCATAGCTATATGCTTTAGAGAATTGTGTAAACAAGAATAAAAAATCTTATGAAACAATAATTCAAATAACATATATACAGACATCGTACAAAAGCAATAATTTCCAATGGGAACCACAAACGCGGAGTGCGTGTCATCAGTGTTGTATAGGATGGATCCATCCTTCACTTTAACCGAGACATCAATGAAGTATGCTTATCGTTTCAAGTATACATTGGCGAAACTAAAAAATTCGATCAACGTTTTTTATAAAATCTATACAAAATATATGTCTACGTCGACATAATTAAATTAGATTTATTATAAATGTATTATTATATTGATTATTGCATATATAGCGCATTTGTATGTAGAATTATGTACTTTTATTATGTACTTTTCTCTAAAAGAAATTAATTTACTCATTGTGTTCTTATTCTTCAAACATTTTTACGGGCAAAAGAATTGTGTTTTTCAGATGTATTAGACTTGATCTACAATGTGCTTCTTGTGTGTCGCTTCTTGCTCTCTGCCGTTCGTATTTTTGCTTCTTATGCGTTTGTCGCATGGAGTCAAGAAACACCGTGATTTACAATTTTTCCTTTCTGAATTTCCGAATAAAAATACGCCTTTACATAAAAGCAAAAAGGCAGAAAACAAAAGGCACATTGTAGATTGGGCTTTATCATTGTTCGGCGCACATAATAATTGTTACATAATTTGATATCACTACTGGCATCGTCGGCAAACTTGTGTGGTCTCTGTTTGTCCCTCTCTTTTTCTCTCCTGATCCGCTTATGGATCTCTTGTAATTAAAACGTGTTCACTGGACATCGATGTAAAATTTGTTGGTCGATTTGTGGAAAAATGACTGTGAACCCGGCGTTTAATTTCACATTCGCGACGTCGCACGGCCACAAACTTAACATTGAACTAACGTTTCATCACGCCCGCGCAGCGTAATGCGGACCAAATTGGAGCCGGTTCAATTTTATCCCGAAGGTTAAGAGCACGGGAAAAAGAGCCGACTACAACTGTTTTAGCGGTTAGTTAGGAATTATCGAGACTTTTTTGCGACTGCTACTTACTTTAATAATGTTGAATAATTAATGCATTATTATTGATATATTATTATCGAATTAATATTAATTATTAATTAGAACTCGTCAGACAAGTCGTCAAACAGCGACACGTATTAAAAAATATGAAGCAAAGATTTAATGAAAATTAAAAATGACAAATTTATAGAATTTATCCAATTGAATAATATTAATAACTAAGTATAATTTGCAATAACGTATATAAATTACACTAGTTTACAAAAAATTAAAAAAAAAAAATTATTTTGAATTAGACAAGGTGCTTCTTATAGATTTTTGGATGTTGAAAACGATGCTGCAAACCAAATTTCACTAGCACCCATTTTTTACATATTAAACCTCAATTATTTTGAAAACCTGACGTGTTGGTGAAATTTGGTTTGCGGCATCGTTTTCAGCATCCAAAAATCTATAAGAAACACCTTATGTGTTCAAAATACCTTATATTGTTCAAAATAATTTTTGGCTGTGAACTTGTAGATAAATAATAAAGTTTCTGTGTGTGTTACAGAGAAATACAGGGTGTACGCGAGTATGTCGTTTGCTGTGCTGCTGTTGGGAGTCGGTGTGCCTCTCTGGTGGTACACCACGGCGGTGCCTCGTGTCGCACTTCCTTATGCTGAGATCGACGAATTGTGGGAGTTGGATATAAGGATCACCACGAAGATCACCGTCGCGGCGTTTTCGCGCAATCGTGCCGAGTTGCTCACGCGCGAAATCAGGCGAGCATTCGCGAACGCTGGTGAGTGATATTCAAACGCAGAAGATCGACAATGAAAACTGGCATAATAAACGAAATGAGAGATGAGCAATAATGATATGCGATGCCAGCAGATTTTGACGCTGAAAAGAATGCTGTCAACAAGTCGAATAATATCATTGTTATGCACGATCTGTCGCTTGACGTCAATCAGAAAATCTGTATATATGAATATTTAGCACGAGTCGAGTTTGACAATCAGTTGAGATGGCACTGATTCGAATTTATACCCATATTATGACTGAAGTGTGTAAAAATAAACAAGGACCTTTGATCCATTCGTGATGCTCGTGTACGGATTGAAGATTAGTTAAAAGTTGTCAAAGCTATCTCGGCGATCTTACATTGCAACGTTAAAGGCAAGAAAATAAGCGTGATAAACTTTGAACGCACGCGCATATTACGTTCACACACTTTAATTAAATATGCTTTTTGACGATAAAAATTCAAAAAGAAAGAAACGCGAAAGATAATATTTATATCTTACTGTGATTAACATATTGTATTATTATTACAATTAATAATATTTTTCTCTTCTCGAGAATACATTCTCAACTTTACATACATATACTTTTGCGTAGATTATATTTTATATCGCGATTTGTTTTAGGCTAAAATTGCACAGCGATCGATACTATTAAGGTCATCAATGATTTTATTTTCCTCTAATATCAATTTATGAATTTATTTTAGAAATCTATCAGCTAGATGTGGAGTATCAAGTGATTTCCAATAGTCTGCTGGCATCCGCTTTCACATATCACGAGTTCGAGAAGGTGGCTTCAACCTTTGATCTAGACGTGGGCGGCTTGCTGTTGCTGGAAGCGACACATCTGAATGTTCCCGTTCTAGTCGGCTCCAAAAGAACATTGTACTTCTCAACCGAAACCAGTAAGCTGCATCATCATTAAACAATTCGCTCAGATCAATTGCTTGTTTGATCTGAAACTACGTCAGGGTCAATGATCAGCTTATTGGCTAGACGTGTGTCGCAACGATATTGTCGTTAGAGCGGTTTAGAAATTGCATACCGTGATTTGCATAACACGCAGCTGTTGCATTCATGCAGGAATGTACAACAGTTAGAAGAATGGTTGCTTATATTCTCACTTTATCAAGTAATGTTAGAAAGATATCAAAGCTGAGTAATATTAGAAAGATGTTAAAGAATATATCAAGGTTTTACAAATTTTATAAGAAATGTATGCTGCTATATAATTAGTAGTGATCTAACAATTAAAGATAATTATATTTGATTGATCACAATCATGTTGACTTTTGAACTTGCTGATTAAATAAATTTCTCGATTTAAGAATGAGCTTGATAAATCTTAAAGAAGCTATCAAGCTTTCTTAATGGGGTTATACAAGTAGCATTGTCCCCAGGCGCTGCTAAATTGATACAAGTGCTGTCAGAATGGATTCTACATGATAAATCATTGGCGTTAACAAAGAATGCGCTTGCCGAGCCTACTGTATACAGTTTGGACGAGGAGAATAGGAGGCGATTCCCAGCGAGTCCGGCATACGACATCCTAATTACGCTAGTTAATCCCGATCCTGAGAAACTGAAGGTCGTTTGGGATCTAAAGATGATAACCGAAGGTATATTTTATATTTAAAAGTAATATAAAAATTAATATATTATTAAATTAACGATTAAATTAGCAAAATTTATTACACATGATTGCGATTAAATAGCATGGATATCATATTTTTAGCGTTTTTAATTCATGAATTTTATATTATATTATAATTTCGTATTATTATTATTAGACACCGACGATTTTAATTGTTAACAAAAAGGCATATAACACAATTGAGATTAAAATTTAATTTGTTGCAGAATATATGGAGCCATTCTTGGATGAATTGTCCATCTTGAGTAATTTCTCAGTCAAGTCGCAATGGTTGTACCTGCTGCCGTTGGACGTGAATCCTAAACGTGTGCCTGATAGCAGCCCGAGTCGCAGACACTTTGCCCTGCGCGAAAGCGTTCTGCCGCAGCTCGTGACGCCGTTGGAGAAAAAATTAGGTTTGTAACGCGTGTAAAAAAATTATACGCACAAAACATTTCTGACTGAATTTTAGCATCACAGGTTAGTCTCCATCCGTGTGTCAATTTGGTCGTCTACACTGTGCCATGCGACAGTGCGCCCTTGCACATCTACACCCGCAGCGGAGACATATCGCGAACGGACAGCAACATAGAAGCCTTTCTTTCTCCGAGGTACCTTTCCCTTTCATTTTATTTTATCGCACATGTCCTTTTCTAAGCTCACCAACATTAAGATTGCTTATTTACGTATATAAATATCGTGCAACTTTATTTATTTTTAGAAGGTTTATCTCTCAGTCTCTTAATTTCTTTTATAAAAATAGCTTAACTCGATTTTGTTATCATGGATATCGTATAATGTGTCTATTAACATAGATGGGGTGGTGTAGTTTTGATCAACCCACCGTCAGAGGTTTGCGAGAATGCACAGGAAAATGAAGCCGTTACCATCGTTCCCGAGGAAACTGCCGTAGTAGGCACGTTCCTAGCACAGCTCAGACTATTGCTCGGCATCCCAGAGACGGTAATTACTCTTGACACAAGTATTTTACAAATTCTATTTTGCTGGGATATAATTAGGAAAATGGTGTAATGGTATGGCTGATATGGTTTTCAACTCGTTTTAAACAATCACGATGAGGAACGGTGCAAAGACACTCGCGCGAATTTCAGAAACCTATTAACGGAGTGACGGCGATGCCGTTGGTGGGATTAAGGCCGCGCGACTGGGAGATTGATTCCTTACTGAGGTTTCGTACCGTTGAGCAATTGACTTCGGCGAAATTGACCCTGCAATCGCTGGCGCAGCTACTAGAGGAAATCAGCAACATTGTCATCACGGACGTAGTGGGAAATAGGATTAAGTCTGCGCTCAGATTGGTGCACGAGTCTGCCGAGTGTCTGCGACGCGGCGATCTTGAGCGTAGTTTCATCCTCAGCAAGGAGGCCTTTGTCACTGCCGAAGCAGCCTTCTCCGATCCAACGCTCTTGGCGCTTCTCTATTTTCCAGAAGATCAGAAGTGAGTGCGAATGATTTTAAATAATCTTAAAAGACGCGAGTATATTTGAAGAAAAAAAAAGAATAACTTTCTGCTACTTGGAGAAAGAAAGGAATGTATGATTATATATATATATATACACATACGCAGAAGTTATTTATTCCGTTATTTCCAGGTTTTATTTTGTATACTTGTATAAAATTAATAGGGGAGGCATTATAAATCGATTATGTATCTTTTAAATTACATTATCAATAATCATTTTCGATATTTCAGGTATGCAGTGTATATTCCTCTGTTCCTGCCGGCGATGATACCGGTCTTGTTATCGCTCAAGAATATACAAAGATACTACTTTCCTCAAAAAGGTAATAAGTAGAATAAAATGGCGAAGGTCGGATAATGAAAAGCATTTATCTGATCGATAATACGGTGATTACGTGTGTACAATAAAATGTGCTATCGCTTGTTTAAGATCATTTCGACCAAAGGTAATGTCCAGCAATAAAAGCTATTTCGTACTTTGTTACCACTTTTATAGCATAAAAAGTCAAGTTTTGTGTATGAAGTGATATCGATCATTTATCGTAAAAAGCTATTATCTAAAAGCTTTTTTTTTCTACGCATATAACGCTCAACGTTATAAGCGGTAACCATAATCTTTAAATATTTTCAACACGATGGAGATGCATTACGTAAATTTAGGTGTACTCAAAGCTGACACTGTTAGTCGGGATCATGTATTTTTAATGATCATTAAGTATGAAAGTAACTTTTTAAACATTTTTACTCACCGTCGTGTGTTACCGGCAACTTTATCGCATCGGGATCTCGTGCGAAGAGAAAAAACGTTGGAAAGAAACGCGTGAGAAACGGTGATAGTTTTGTTTTATTTTTGAAAAGAAAATGTTGAATGAAATATGTGTACGTGAAACCATTCGTGCAAAAAAAAAAGAAGATATAATAAATGATTTTTCTCTTGAGCCACTTTTTTGTCGTTTTTTTTTTTTTGTTTCATTCAAACGGATGAGGTCTATGAGCAAGATATCAAGTAATTCGAAGAGATGATAAATGTTTTAACATCTCGTTCTCGCTTGCTCGCTTGCTCGCTCTCTCTCAACACACACATACACATATTCAGTCACTCACTCAATCATTTTTTTCCTCATTCATCATTCACTTACTCGTATGTTGTACACCGATTGGAACGAGAATATAGCGTTATTGAAATTCTCGTTATCATCGACAATTGGAATTTTATATTTGCACGTTTTGGTGCACCGAAACGGGGGATGAATTCTACGAAGAATTCGCTACGGATACACGCGGACGAGATGTACATACGCGTGCATCTGCGTACACAAACACACGTCATTACGCACCCAAAACGCAAGTGAATTTCGTGTGATATATCCCTCTTCGATTAGATGCCAAGTTAATTGATTAGATAATTAGAAACAATTACAAGGTTTATGTACACGTATATCAAATCAATCCTCAACCACGTTACCAAAAGGTTACAAAAAAATTGCGAACGTTAAGTTGCTATAAAAAAGAAAAAAAAAACGAGAAAAATAGTACATGTCCGTCTACCATCAAAGACCGCCCTCTTTTTTTTTTCTTCTTTTTTTTTCTAATGATCTACAACGGTTAAATAAAAGGTTCAACATCATTCGATAAGAGAAAAACATAGTAATAAAAAAAGAACTAAATAATATTAAAACAATTAGCTGCTCGATGCACTTAGCCAGTATAAAACAGCACATATATATATATCAACTCTTTCCTTAAAAACAAAAAAGATAAAAATAAAAAGAATTGTGTTTCACCAACAAAGTAAAAATAATTGCTCGAGAAATGCCGTATGCTCGTAATAAATAGTAATAATAAATGGAATATCTCGATGGAAGTAAAAGATCTTGACTATTTGTGTTGCAACTTTGTCAAGAATTTAAAAACGGTAACAATTAATAGTAATGATAGTAGTATAGTAATAGCAGTAAGAGTAATAGTAGTAGTAATAATAATGCATAAACAAATGGTATCGTTAACTATTTGTAGCGCGAGAGCTAGCGATGAGACGATGGCAATAAGATAACATCGTGAGAGGCATTTCATGCCAACGATGGTTACAATAGTCACTTTTAATAGAAATAATAATGATAGTGCGGCATCATCATTATCATCATCATATCCTATCGTGTTCGCGTAGATCTCCAATGGTAGATGGACATTGTTAAGAGTAAAAATAAATTAGTCGTCGAACCGAGCTTATTCGTACGAAAATAATAGAAAAAGAAGAAAAAAAAGCAGTAAAGAGCAATTAAGTCAACAGGGACTTTGAACTAATTGTATCGCGTGTTGCAGAGCGTCAGCGATATTGTGAAAAACAGGTACACCTTCGCGCGTCGCATAGTCCGACAGGTACATCCTTCCTCGGTTGTAATCTTTTCTGGCTTGTTCAGTCAGCTAAATCAATCAAAAGAAAATAACAATTACATTTTATAGTTTTAAAAATGAAAACAAAAATGTCTACGAATGTCTATAAATGCAAACTATATCGTAGATCGACACAACTTTTACTTCGCAATACATATATAGAAACTGTCACTATTTTTTAATTCGCCCAAGTCTTTTAATCTCAAATAAGGCGGTAGTCAATTCTATGTGAAATTATTGATAAGAGTATAATAAATTAATATATTCAATAGAAACGCTATATATTAATCTTCATAGTAAATATAAGTTATATCAGTCGTACTTGTTCACCAGACACGATAGAATCTTCGGGAAAAGTTTGAACACAGAGGACGAGCTTAGCGCGCAGTCCAATCAAGTGAGCTGCCAATGCCATGATGGCGATACCGCGCGAGTGCTGCGGCACTATCAACAGGATCAACCGCGAGTTCTTCATCTTCTGCAATTCCTGCGGCAATATCCTTACGTTGTACTCGTTCAGGCTTGGTCGATACAGAGACAATCTCATTGATCTGAAAAAGACCGTGAAATGAGAGAAGAGTGTGCTGAGATACACCGGTGAATAATCATCAAAACTGACACTTACTCTAACAGCGGTACTGCAGAAGATTCTAGCCAAACCAGATCTTTACTAACTACGCCGATGTAAATATCCCTTTTCTCAAACTCCTGTACGAAGGAATTTGCCCAATCTAAAAAAAGTTTGACGTTTGAATATGATTTGGTGCGAGTTACATTTTCAGCCTATTCTACGAAATAAGTGAAATAGGTGAAACAATCAAGACTGCGAATGAGAGAATGGAAGATTTGGGCGAGAAAGAATGGGGATAGGGAGTCGGTGCGAGTGCCAAAAACAAAGGACTGTTGAAAATCCGAAATACCTAGGAAACGATTAAAAGGATGTACGAAAGCTCGACGCAGGAAATTTGAGGCCTTCCTACTTAATATATTCCATATTGAAGGTATCTCACTTTCACAAGAGACGCCGTTATTCTTCGTCCGCGTCCACGATGATTCGCTGGCCAACGCGCAAAACTGCTCGAAATTGATTCGTAGTTCTGTCGGATCATCTTTCGCCGGAAATTCGTTTATCAGCGTCCTATACATTTCTGCGCGACAGACATATTGTGCCGATTAACATTTTTTTAAAGTCAAAACACGAATCTATTAAACGTCATAAAAACGTGAACGTTACCGGACTTATTCACTGCGTTGAGCAGATCCGAGAGGGACACGTTATTGCATATTGTGTTTGACTGCAACATTAGCCAAGCCTGGAAATAAAAAAAATTATGTTGCAATTCGTGAAATATATTTGAAGGATACTTGATGCGATAAAGCGTACATACCTCTCCTAATTTTACCATGCCGCTATCATTGACGTCCATAGATTTGAAAATCTCCCGTAACGTACTAAAATAGACCAAATTTGGCATAAATTATTCATAAACAGTTGATTACGTTGGACGAAAATTCTTACATAGTATCTGTCCCATTCTGAGTGAGTGAGATTCTTATAGGTCTGATGCCATCATCGGTGTACAGGTTCGTGCAATCCTGCACATTGATTTCTTCGCGTAACATCTGTGCATATATATATACAGTATACGTATATCAATCGTCAATTTTTAAACACAATTTCGTATCGATTAAATCGATTACCTTGGACGTGCAGTGAAGAGCAACCGACACACTTTCGAATATCGGTATCCTTTGCCTTTCCATTAGGTACTGAAGTACTAACAACCCGTTCATTAAATCATAATATTCTCTAAAAATAACATGTGTACTGATAAAATGAGAAAACTCGTAACGGTCGATAAAAGATCGTTAGATCGATTAATTCTGAAGGAACATACTGCGTAGAAACACTCTCTCCGAGTATAGTCTGCCCTTGGCGATACGGATAAATAACGAGAACCAACGACTCGCTGCGCGTAGCTGACAGTTGAGCTGCTTCAATAATACTCGCACTATTGCGCGTCTGATTGTCGATGACAAACAGCAAGATCCGTGCCGTTTGCTTCGCCTCGTATTCCTGGGCTATCAACTCTGGAGCCCATTGTGATACTTGCTACGATACAGAATTCAATTAGTTTGCATCTGCGCGAAAATAAATATGGCACAAGAAAGTGAGCAACTTACAGGATTGTAATAAGTAATTCCGAGGTTCTGAAGAGTCGGTATCGCTATGTCTGACCTCCAGGTGGTTGGATTGCAAGAGCCTCCCAAAAATACCTCATATGCCATTCTCTCTAAGCAATTAATCCATAAGTAATTAATGGGACGCTTTGTCGGAGCGATCAAACCGTACATGAGACATCGTGGACGGATCATTTATTGACTTACTTGAGCCAGTTTTGTGATTAGTATCCTTTCCATCACCGAGTAATGAGCGGGAGGCGTTCATAGGAACAGCTGCTGTTCTAAAGATAAACAAGAATATAAACGTGTACAATAATCTTAGCTTTCTCACTCTCAATTATGAAGCTTTTGTAATTAGGAATAAGCTTTCTTTATTTCTAATCTTACAATTTTCATCATTTTGATCATCGTCGCTAGGAAGAAATTTCGTAATCTTTACTGTGTGTGAAAACTGTTAAACGTCTCATTGTAATCTTAAAAGCAAGTTAGCTAACAACATTGTTAACGAGACTACATACAATGAGCATAGTTTTTGATTGCAGTAAAATGACATTAACTGTTTCGCAATATGGAATGAAATCACTCTGTATATCAAAAAAGGGACTATCAATTGCGTAATTAAATTTCATCAGAGTGTGGTAATGGGATATACTAGATAGTGGCACGCTTTTATTATCGTTTTGTAGTTGAACGTACTTCCAAATATCAAATAATTTTGCAACAACAGACATCGCATTGCGTTTCATCATCACTTTAAAACATCCCCCATGATTATCATAATCAAATGTTCAATATTTTCGCCTGAAACATACAAATTTCCGTTCACCTAATAATTGATCAAAGAAACGCGTGTGTAAAAAAAAATTGTGTACTTTAGTGCAAATAATAATATAATTTGCGAGAGATTTGGAACTTGTTACTGCACAAGGGAATTATACGTGATGTCTTGAGAAGCGCTAAAAAAAAATACCTAGCAAAATCGAACCAGTCAATATACTGTAAAGTTTTTAGGTTACCCTTGCTCGCACAGATGTGCCAGTTCTGCGGCAAATATGCAAAATTCTTCTAACATTATACAGGTATCGGTACAATCAGGACGATCTTCAGTATCATGCTGCAGCTTATTGCACAGCTGCAAGCAGTTTGGAAACAACAGCATCACGTATATTTCTTGTATCTAAAATATCAAGCAATTCTCTTTTACTTTATTTCAGCATTGCTAATTAAATAAAAATTACGTGCAGGTAAGATAAGATGAGGTATGCATACTTACACAGAGTATACGAATGGTTGCCAAGTTTACGCTTAATCAACGTCTGATGATAAATATTCCTCATTATTTAAAAGCAATTAATCCAAATGTACGTTTCCAGGAGTAATGATGTACCTATGTTTTTCTCAATAGGGAAAGTTTCTTTTAAGTTTTCCTGTAAAAAAAATGGAATATTAACTTCTTAATTAAGATAAATAGAATTGTTTTATTAACTAAGAAATATTTTGCACTCTAACAATAATTATATGATCTAAAATATATATTTTTTGTAACATAATATAATAATATCATATATAATTAATATAATAAATAGACACTTGTTAATTTTAAGAGTGTAACAGTTATATCTACCTTAATAATTTTTTTGTTAGGCATGCCAGCATGTTAAATGCCTGTCATTAAGAATAAAAGTTTGACTTTGTATCTTCTAGTTGAAAACCCCAAGTTCACCTACATAAAATACAAAGAAAACTTTTAATATATTGCATTGATCTGAGTTTGACTATATTTATAAAATTAGTAAAGCACAGATGATTTTCATAGAAAAAATTTAATATTGATGTTCTCACTCCAGTCATTATAATGCAATTACTCACTAATATTTCTGCGAAACACGCGATCATATTTCCTGTAATTTCCAATTAATAACACACGAGTCATTTAAATCACGGAATTAATTTGCAAAATAAAAAATGGCATTAACTAGAAAAACGGGGGGGGGGGGAAGTAATGTAATGCGCCCTACGAACGAATCATGGAGTAGACGAACATAACAAATCGCGTGCCACAGTTTCTAATCACACTGACGGACGTCCTGTGTATACACACATACCGTGCAACCACGTTGTGTCGTGTCGCTTCTTCACCACTTCTTACAAAGGCGTAGAATCGTTCAGGTGTACAGAATTAACATTTTGTATCACAATACATCCCGAATTATAAGATAAGAGATCTAAGATTGTCAGCAAGAATGAAGTTATCTCGATAGTAATCGTTATCGATTGTACACGCTTAAATCTTGTAAATCTTACGGTTGAAACTTTTATCTAAACATGCTAAACACAGGATCAAGTCAGTTGATTATCTCTTTCAACGCGACAAACTTGAAACGAGCTCCTTTTACAACGTCGGACTAGCGAACTTTCATTAGAAGCGCGTTCGTAGTTCTCCTTTGCGTTTTCCATCGCTTATCGCTCACACACCATCGCTTGTCCTACCATCCTTGTCGATGGCGATTCAGTGGGGCAGGCGGAGAAACGCACGAACCAAGCACTATAGCGAAGTGCGCACACTAACCTTGATTTCGGTGTTGCATACCCGTGCACAAAGAACAGCGTAGAGCGCAGCGTACAATGGAAAAAGTCACAATTGTTCGAGTGCAACCGACGGGACGATGCACATCCCTCGCATACGCTTCCTCTCTCCCTCTATTTATCACTCTCCCTCTCTCTAGCGCAGGGAGCGCGTGGATAAACAAAGCGTGTCTGCGCGGTTGGGAGAAAAATCAACGGCGGTGGTGGTGCGAGGAGCCTCACAGCGCACTCCCGCTATTGCTCATACTTATTTATACACCGTTATATTTAAAATGAAAGAGAGGCGCGCCGGCGGCCGTATCGTCGTCGTCGTTGTTGAGCGTACACTGCTGACTGGTGGAGGAAGAGATGGTAAAAAGGACCGTATGGGTGACAGGCGATCAATCACATTTCCACCGAGCTGTTCGCTGTTGACAACGCGAGAGACACACGTCGATGAGGAAGCCGCGCAACATCGAATTGCGCCAAGTTACGCGTTTGTGGCGACTCGGGACGCGCACGTGAATTTCACTTGTAACAGAGCAAATCTTTGTGGAAAGTTAAACGGCTATTCTCCGATACATCGAGCATTGACACATCCTAAAATAGAAAAGATTTTATTTTGATTTATAAAAACGGAAAGGTTAATAATCGCACGACTGTCGTCATTGACGTTATTTGTACGCGATTCCGATACGACACGTCTGTACGCGAGTACCTCTGTTTTACGTTTGACGTTTTACGTGCGACAGGCTACGGCGAACACTGAAGCGAGCGAGTGAGCGAGCGGTTGTTCAATCTCACTCAGGTCAGCGACGATGGGGTGGGCGACATTTTATCGCATGTTGTCTTTTCCGCGACGAGAAAGAGGTTGTCTGCATGCGTACGCTCATGCGTGCGTGCGTGCGTGCGCCCCTCTGCCGTCTCCGCACCCCACACACTCCTAGTAACTCAGAGAATGACGTAAACCTCTAACAATGAAACGTGATGTCACACACGGTGAAGTTCGCATGGGCTCTCCGGATCGCCGCGCCACTCTGTACAACTCTGCGCGCGCGCAAGTCTGCAGGGACCTTGAATTTCGTGGTTGGACTCCAATGCGTCTTGACGGTACGCGCTTTTAACTTCGTACCACGCGCGGCGATGATGTCATCGATCGTCGCTGCTGCGCGAGATTGAGATCGTCGTCTGTACACGCGCCATGGTTCAAAAAATATTCTCGGGCAGATAAAAACCACACGTCCGATGCTGTCACGAGCAATTTTCGATCGATACCGTCATACGCGGGCTTTATTGTCTTGCGCGCGAGTGTAATGAGCAATCGCGGGCACAACGAAAATGGCGAGTGTTGCTTTTTTTTGTCATTCGTGCTTGTCATTGACGTAAGTGAATGTGGAAGCGTTATCGTTGTTTATAAGCTGCTTTTTTATTATGACGTTATTTTACAAAAACAATATAGGTGCAATAGATTAGGTTAGAAGTACAAAGTTCTGAAATCATTAAAGTTTTAAAGGTTAAGATAAGAGAGAAATATATAATAATATATCAAATATGTTAGATACGTATTTATTATCTTCTGTTTACTACAAGTTAATATGACAATTGCAGAGAAATAACGTATTCTATGACGTACAATATGAAAGGAACAAAAATACAAGCATTGTGAATTGAGCGCTAATGAAATATATAAATATTGTTAATATAGTTTTCTATACAGTAAATTTCATTAGCATTTAACATTAATAACTTGTAAGTTATTTGCGAAGTAGTCATTATACTGATCAAATTAGTAAAATCGAAATTGCGTCACGTATGTCTCGCACAATCAAATGTCTTATTTGTGTGAACTTCAAATTGAGTGAAATCACAAGTTAAATATATTATACGTTAAATTTTCAGCGTTGTCAATGTACAAGAACGGTCGTTGACATTGTCCGATCAGGTTACACTGTCCTTAAGAATCCTTTCCTCGTCTCTTCATGCGTGCAGTAGCCTTTAGAATGTATGAATTGCGCGCGCGCGCGCGTGCTCGCGCGATGCCGAGTACGGGGCGAAGTAAAAGGGAATCAATCGGTGTGCGACTGGTTTTTCATCAAATATGGTGTGGAAGTTTTCGAGCGGTTCACACTATCGACAGGCTCAAAAGTCTGTGTGTACAATCCTAGACGTTCTTTTCAATCAATCGATTTCGAAAGTCGCCAGCCGAGTTTTCAATTTTGATTAAAAATAGATTTTTCGAAATAATAATTCGATTGAAATCGAAAGGCAAGAAATTTTGTTGTGTAGTGATATTGTATACAATGTCAGTCACAATATTAGCACAGTATAAATAATAGATTGCCATTGAATATTATATCTGCAACATTTGCCTTTATAAGGAAACGATCAAGATTGTTTGTGATTTGTATGACTCGCATAATCAAATTCGGAACCGTAGTAAGTTTCACATTGACAACAAGACAGCTTATTATTAACTAAACTCGCTTCAAATAGAAAAAGATTCGTGTAAATGCCTTTAATAACAGTTTTTATATTAATTTCATACTTTTATCTTCTGAAAGGTAAATACGATATGTACACGTTGCTTTATTCTAAGAGCAGAAAGTGCAGCTAAGAAGGATATATTAAATTCATTGAAAAATTTGGTCGCTTTTTTTAGTAACAAAATTATACAAAAAAAACCAATACATTTGTCAATCAACTTAATATTTAATAACATGTGTGTGTACGTGTTATGTGTGTTCTAGATATTATTATATAGTAGAATATACTCACACTTATGGTGACAGTCTCGAGATCGAGGTGACTTTCGTCTAGTGATCGCGAAAATCGCGGAGGCGCGAATCGTACGACGGCGATGGCGGAAATAATAATTTATAATTTGTTGGAGCGCGCTTATTTGTCTTATGTCTCTTTTTCTGTTTCTCTTTCTCTCCCTCTCTTGCTTAATCCCTTCTCTCTTCGTGAGAAAACACTATTGAAGCAAACGCGATAATGCGGAAATCATTCAAAGTGATATAATCGTTATTTCTATTGCACTTTCCATCCGTGTATTTTTACGTCACGTTGTGTCGTGTCGTATTGTATGTAGTCATTCGACATAAATCATTCTACAATAATGTTGCTTATCTCACAAGGAACTATATTTAACTGTTAAAGTATTGTCATTAGTAAACGTGAAAATTATTTAATGGTTTATTAAATAGTTTAAAATTAATATTACAGAATAAAATTTATGACAAACTATGAGAAAGAATATATGTAAAAGGTATTAAATAATATATATGTATAAACAATATTTTTTAAATTCCAAAATGCTAGGCAAAATATTAACTTACTCATAATATTATTTTTTTCAAGATTTTGGCATTGAAAATTGCGAATTATGGTAATTTTTAAATTTGCAGCCTTCATGAATACATCTTTTGTGATGTATCAAGTTTCCATTTTATGTATTTACGTGTTTCATGACTAATGTCGATTAGTGGTTAGGTTGGTATCGTGGTATCATCTAGAAAATTTTCGATTGAAGTTTGGTATGTAAACATACTATACTGGAGTAATTCTCTAGACCTGTGTAATAAACGTGGATAAACGATAAGTGTAGCAGAATAGCCTAGATGCGTCACAAATATTGGCAAAAATGTTCGGTTTACTCGTAGCTGGACGACTTGTGAGTATCAAACTTTGTTTATAGTGTTTATTGACTTTATCTACATTTATATAATTTTAAAATTTAAGTTATTTAATAAAAATCAGTTTAAAGTTATTTATTAGGCACTTGTAAGATTGTTTTATCTTATTAAATAACTTTTGTCTTTCAGGTACAAACCGACTTTCAACAAGTAGGAGAGAATCAGTTCTTGATTACTGTGCCTGATGCTGACAACATTAACTATATAGTAGTCTTTCTTACTGGAACTATACCCTTTCCTGATGGCATTGGGGGTGCAGGTAAGATAGAGCGCAATAAGAATTATTTTTGAATACGTGTTATTGTGAGAAGTTATGTTTTTCTGTGTACTCGAGTTGATCATTTGAAATATCAAATTGTTTGCAGTGTATTTTAGTTGGCCAGATTCAAACGCACCACCTAACTGGCAGTTTCTTGGATACATTTCCAACTCCAAACCTTCAGCTATCTTCAAAATGTCAAATTTGAAGAAGAATCATGAGTTTGAGAATAGCAATGTGGGAATTTTTGGCATTGGCAAGATCTCACACGTTGCACAGATTGGTGTGTCAGTTGAACCACTGATGATGATTGAACAACAAGCGGCTACAGTTGTTGCAACCTCAACCAACACCTTTGCTGAATTTGTGCAGAAGATGCTGAACAGTTTTGTGAACTATGTAACCAGTTTTACAGTGACACAGGCGCAAATGACGCCAAATCCAACTGAGAACTATGTGCCTTTGTCTACACTGCAAAGTTGGTACGAGACTTTTGAGAGACGGTTACTACAGAATCCAAATTTCTGGAAGTCGTGATTATGGAAAACTGTGTGTATAATATGGAGCTAGAAACTTCTGTCGTGATACATACATGAATACTTGATAGTCAAGATTAAGTACAGCTTCAGTGCTTCAATACTATTAAGACATTGTTGATCAATCAGTGTAAGTTTATCATTTTTATATTATCATCAATAAAGATGATATTATTTGATCTTATATAAGAATATAGATTTATTAGATATTCATTTCAAATGCATTGAATGTCTTAATAAAAGAAATCTTGGAGCAGATTAGTACATACGAGGATAAGTCAGAAATTATCCGCAACATTCGAATTATGTTTTACTTGAAAAAATTGCGGATAATTTCTGACTAACTCTAGTATCTATCTCTACTTGATTTAAATTTTCTTATTAAAAATAACAGGTCGGCTTGATAATAGCAGTTGTGAATTTATGCCCTGTAATATTCTAATCTTGATTTACTTTAAATAAAAAAAAAAAATACTATTGGATTTAATTTTTGTAATATATAAAATAAAGGGTATTTCACAAAAAAGAGTTTTCTGCAACTTTGTATAAACTTTATTATAATGATTGTCATTTTTATTTCTGAATTCTAGACAATTGTATTATCTGATCTAGCCTAACATTATCGTTGCAACTATTTATTCTCTTATTATCTGTTATTGCCAACTTTTAATATATTTTCATGATAAATGAATGTTTTCTATGATACATTTGAGTTTTGAAAAAAAAAATAAAGTAAAAAAAGCAACCTGTAGAGAGCGCAATTAAAACGAACAGACCGGCACTTCCGTTTTTGCAATGCACACCGCATGCGCAACAGCTCATAAAAAGCCACCTTTAAGTCATACATATAACGACCTGTCAGTATAACAGCTTTCACGTCGGTCGGGTGTAGTAGTGAGAGTTTCGAGTCCAAAGATTCGTGAGCGTATAAATTTCGCTACGTGTTATCGCAGTATATATATATATATATATATATTTCGGCTGCTGCAAAACCCCGTGTCCGCTATGAACGTGCTGCGAATCTCCGTGCCGTGGCGAGACGACACGGGAGAGCGCGTACTCCAATGAGCCAGCCGCCGTAATGAGAACTGATCGTCGCCGCCGTCGTCGCCGTCGCCGCCGCCGCCGCCGCCGTCTCCACCGAGTGCTTGTTCTTGCTTTTCGTCGTTCAACCTACACTCTTCCGTCTACGCATCCATCTGTGGTCCTTGATATTTAGCCGTGCGGTAGTGTTTATAAGGACGATGCCCTGCATGGCAGAGCAACATCGTTAATGCGTGGCGTCTCCCCTCGGTTAGCACGCGTATCTGGCAGTGCTTGGTTCATGGATTCCGCGTGAGAGAATAGACTATAGAGAGAGAGAGTGTGTGTATCAGGCAGAGAGAAAGAGAGAGAAATCTTGGAGACAAACCGACGTGCGTCGTCTATTGCGTGGGACACCTTGCGATCTAGAAGTGAGTAAGAAGCGAGTCTACTTGCTCTCGCATGATATTGTATGCAGTTACACGCTCTCTTTCAAAGTAGAGAGAAAGAGAGAGAAGGAGAGAAAAAGAGAGAGCGAGTAATCATGCGAGTAATTACGCGCCGTGTGTGACGCGCGTTTCAAGGTTGACACATGTCGAGCTTGGTCGTATAATAATAAGAGTGAAGAAAAGGCCAGGCGAGCAGCACGGCGATAGATACAGAATGGAATAAAGCGGGATGGGAATACTCGCGTTCGACATTGCATTCGCGATGCGTTGCGTCGCGCTGCACTATTTTGTGTTTCGCAATAATGAGTTTATTCATCTCAGCTGCACTACGTTATACATCTTTCTGCAGTAAGCTCATATTCAGTCATTGGTGAAAAAAAAAGAGTAAATATGCACAACAGTAAAAATTAAAAGACGACCTGATAGAGCTATTTATTTAAATTATATTTCAAATGTCAAAATGGGTTAAGTTTGGACTTGAAGACAAAGTGCAGAAAGTACAACTGCGATCTGTAGATGCAATATACGCTGCATCTGAGATACGCGTTGCATGTCGTGAAAATTATAAAATTATTCGATTTGTTAGTATTAATACTGATATTTCCATTCCTATTCTTTCTATGCTCTATCTCTACAGTCCATATATATATTTGTTTCAAGTACAGCTGAAAAGGAAAACAACTCGGCATTCGAGTTTGACCATGCACAGAGAACTGCATAGCGACCATGAGTTCTCACAGAGTCGGAATTAATTAATTAAATGTCAGTCGCTGTCCTTTTCTATGCGGTCGCGATCCCACCTATGTAATCTAGACAGAAAAAAAAAGTCGGTCGACCGGAATTGGCGGTAATCGACGTCGGTGGCCGCGCCGCGCACGAGCGTCGCAGAGAGCGAGTCGGACTTGCTTTCCCCGTGCGCGCACTGCGATACTGCGATTAAACTGTGTATGCGAGACGAGGATGTGCCCCGAGATGGTTCGTGAGCATTCCATAGTTATAAATAAATCAAAAGAGTGAAATAAAAAATATGTCGAAAAGAATTCAGTCCATAAATTTCATATGATCAAAAATATGCCACTAATGGAGTTGTTTGTTCAAGTTGCATTTTCTGCACTTAAGTGATACAGATGTATGTTTGAGACTTATGAGAGATGTCAGTCAGAAAGTCAGCTGAAATGAATAAGCTACTATTTTTATAAACAGAAACAGCAAGAATGCACTGATAACTGAATTATATAGTGCATTGATTACAAGCATAAAATTTATTTACATACGAACAAAATAAAAGTATGAAAACTTTTTTACATTTTTGCAGTTTCATGTTTCTAGAGTTAATGGTTGTATGCAAGTATCTATAGTAATATTTTATAGAGATAGTTAAATATAAATTGAATGAGATATTTAAAAAAAAATAATAATTTTTACAAAATTGATGGATATTTTCACATCAGTTTATCACTTTAGAGCAATAAAATTGAATAATGAAATATTATTGGTATTTTTAGTCGTAA